GGATACCTACTTAGATCGTACTTAGTGGCTGTGATAGTAGTGGGCTGGGCGGCCCTTGCACCAGCTACTTATTGCTTTTGACCCTCCTGACACCTAATAATAGGAAAATGCCCCCTTCATCACTCCTACTTTACTTAGAGTGGTATGATAGATTGCCCCAGATAGGCACTGAATGTGCAGTCGAAGATCGACAACTTGTCGATGTCACTTTTGCATACTCGTCGCAGACATCTGCCCGTGGACACATTATTCTGACGAATGTCTGCCTAACGCATGCGCTGTAGCAGTATGCGTACATTGATGTATATGAACATAGAGTGAGAGAGAGCTAGACGAGTGGCCTCGCCTCCGGGAAAGCAGCTGAAACGCGCTCACGTGAGTTTACGCGTATAACCTCGTGCTGGCCTTCTTGACCCACGATCTACCCTTCTCCCACTGAAAAAGCCTTCAGGCTTCAAGGACCATCAAAGCTGAGGATATAAGAGCCTCATACTTTGAGGGCGCTATACTACGAGAGGGGGGGGGCTCCAACCAAGAATCCTGTAGTGCCAGTAGTACGAGACGGATATGGATATAGGCTCAGGCGCTTGCACGTGCAGCTACACCTCATGAAATATGTTGTGTGTATATTAGAGCATTAGTATGTGATATAGGTTGCAAACAGCAGCGTGTGTTAAGAAGTACAGTAAGTATTTGGCCAGCTCATTATGTTCACGACGATCGACCTGGAGCGACAAAGCCCGACAAGTTCAAGCCCCAATTATCATCCCATCAACACCAGCGCTGCCGCTTGGACCAGTACTTGCCTCCCTGCTCACGGCCGCGCTAGTGTTCTTCGACGACGAAGCAATCGCAAAGTCCGTAATCTTCCGCGGCCCCCTCCTTCTCCCACCTGAAAGCGCATCCTTGAGCCCTTCGCGCTGATAGTGCACCCGCAGCTGGACCATCTGGATCCAGCTCTTGGCCGACGAGCGATCGAGATGCGCCGCTCCAGTGTCATCTATCAAGCATCAGTATCGCGTAGACATTGAAGCATCAACGAAGAGCACTCACTGATCTTCCCGTACAAATGCTTCAGCGCGACTTCCAGCTGCTCAAGCGGCGCTCCGTTCTCGTGCACCATCGCGTCTGTGCTGCTCAACAGACCAGACTTCTTGGTCTCCAGTATAACATACTCTTCCACGCCAACAAGCATCCGGTTCAGTACTTCCGCGCGTGCTTCAAGGTCGTAGTAGTTTGTCTCGGCTGTGATAGCGAAGGGACCATCGTGCGCGCGCCAGAGAAGTGTGATGATGGGGTCCAGAGAAGGCAGAGCGAGGTATTCATCCTGTAAGGCTGCATCAGCAATGACTACGTGTGTAACGAATCATGACTGACCGGTTCACTCGGTGGCGGCGTTTGGAGCAGAAGATGAAAGGCAACACGTCGACAGATGCGGATGCTGGGTCGATTGGAGAGAGCAAATGTGTTGATGATGGTATGCTGATACGGTGGCGCCAGTGACGACGTATATAGCCATATCTCACGCGCGATAAAAGCCTCCTGTGTTCTGAATTAGGCCAAGTATAGTGAGACGGATATGAATGACGCACAGTCTTGTGACTCTCATCACGGTCGTTCGACAGGCGGCTAAGAACGGCGTCAATGGTGGACGTAGCGGTGATCCGTAAGTCCAAGCCGGTCTCTACGTCGTTCGCAATGAAGATGAAAGCCATGACGATACTGGGGATCTCGTCGTTGGGGATAACACCGCCCTCGCTGAGACTGAGTGAATAACACGTATAGTTCGAGATACAATGAGGCTTACACGACATAGTTCTTCACGAGGGTGAGCATGCGGCGCAGGATCTTCTGCCGGTCCTCGCTCGTCTTCGCGCCAGTAGGTTGCGAAGCCAGCGCCTCCGGCCAAATCTTCGCGACAAGCTCAGCCTTGAGACCAAGACCAGCCATTGTCTGGGCAATGAGCGCTGCGGGGAAAGGTATGACCTGGCCCTTGGGCACTTTCCTCGCCATATCATTGAGAGCACGGTATGCCCTCACCGGAGCTTCATCGGGGCGAATGGAAAGAGCTGATGGGACATCAGCCTCGAGTAAAGAGTATTTTGCGAGAGGATGTACCGAGTTGAGCGAGCGAGCGCAGCACAGGAAGGCTCGCCTTGAGGACTCGCGGGTCCAACAGTGACGCGCTGATGAAGTTGATAGCCCGAGGATATACTGCAGAAGACGATAAGCCAATGATGTTCCAGCATTTATGTCAGAACACATACCGTCGTTGATCCAGGCCTCTCGAAGCATGACCATGCTCTTGCTTTCGCCTTCGAATGGCTCCCAGACCGGAAACGGCGTCGAAGTCATATCAACATCCATATCCTCTTCGACTTCACCGCCCAGTGCGCGAGCCCAGATCTCCACCGGTCTCGAACTTCTTCCCTCATCCGGCCCAGCCAATTGGTCGGCTTCGATGATGTCGAACGTCGCCTTACCACCTTCAGCGCCAAGCAGCTTCATCGCACTCTTCTTGCTCTTGTCGAGATTGAACTCGTGCGGGTCGTCTTCCTGATAGGCTGCACCGGAGTAGGCGCGTTCGATACCTTCCTGCGCATGACGTGCGGCTGCCTCGAAGTCCCCCATGTTCGCTTCGGTCTCCGCGGACGATTCACGCAACTCGGCCTTGAGGAAGGCACTTTCACCCGTGCCTTTACGTTCAGCGGCGTTCTTTTCGCGCAGGAATTTATCGATGGGATTCGGGGACTTCTTGCGACGCTCGGCAGCTTTGCTTTCGGCCGCAAGTACTGCGGGACGGCGTGTAGCCTGCTTACGTTCGCGCATCGGGCGTTGAGTAAGAAGAGGCGAGCTGGTGACCATGGGCGAGCTGAGCGACGGGGAAGAGTCTCTAGTCGAGCTAAGAACGCGGACCGGTCAACCACAATCCAATGTATATGCAAGATTGAACGTACGCTTTCCCCTTTCCTTTCCCCTTCTTCAGCGTAAAGAACCCTTCCAGCTCATCCTCGCTATCGCTCTCCGGAAGCACGTCTGGAACATCGCGATTGAGCTCCTCGTCAGAGTCTATCATTTGCGCGGCCAACGCCGCTCGTCGCGCAGCATCAGCGTCGACTTGTCTGCGCGCTTCCGCCTTCGCCTCTGCCAACACCTTCGCCGTCTTTGACTTGGGAGACAGTGTCATCAGCGGTGACGATGCTTGCGACTGATGTCTCGACTGAGCTCGATTCGGGGTGCGTTGTGAATGAGGCGAAGACGCAGGCGCGTGGACGGATGACGAGGGGTCAGCCATCTCCTCGTCGTCGATGTGCCATGGATCGACATCGGCCATCTGGTCAACATCCATCGCTCCGCCAAGTGAGATCTCCAATTCGTCACTCTGCGAGCTAGGGAGGACTGGCATATTGTCGTCGTCGGCAGGTGGGGAGGTGAGACGGCGCTTCTTGGCCGAGGACGGTCTACGCGCAACAAGTTAGTCGATAGTCAAGATACAAAAACATACGATCTACTTACAATCTACCTGTCCTTTTCTTCGTAGGTGTGGGGGTAACGGGTAACTCGGCACCTTTCCGTTTCCTCGCAGTACGGCGAGTGACAGTCGGGGGTTCGGGGATCGGGCTAGGTCCGCGTTCGTCCTCGGTCGAGGTCAGAGGGTCAAGCTCTGAAGAGTCTTGAATAGATTCATGTAGAGATGTGAGGTCAGACAACGCCGAGGCTGAACTATTGAAGCGAGGGCGGAGCAACGGCATAGGTAGGGCATCCGGGTCGTCTTGCGGCGGAGGGCTGGACATTCTGGTCGAGGAGGTGCTCCTACTAGGAAGCGAGACGTAGACGGCCAGCTTTTTATTAGGGTGTGTAGACGTCGAAGCCGAGTCGTGGTCAGGCCTGCGTGCGAGGCGAGGCGAGGCGCGCTCAGCAGGACGCCCTTTCTCCTTCCTGGGGCGCGCCGTGGCGGGCCGCAGACCGGTAGTGGTAGATGAATTCGACGAGGTGGTCACGGACGGCTTCTTGAACCAGTCGGATATCGAGCCGCCCTGCGGCAAGGTCGACGCGCCCACAGCCTTCTTCGATCCAGACGCGCGAGTCATGGCGTATTCGCTTAGCAGACGCGAAGCGAAGTCGCTAGAACACGGAGATCTCGCAGATGGACCTTATCGGGTTATATGTCAGAAGGCGAGCTCCAGAAGCACCTGTGCGGTTTATCCAAGACTGAGTGGTTGTGGTAGTGAGAGACTAAGATGCGACCGCCGCGCCACCTCGCGTCTCCGTCTTGGTCAACAACCGCGACGCGTCGCGTCACATTCCGCAGCACGACGCGTCCACCACGAGGCTCTCAAGAGCCTCCAGGCTCAACTCTTAATCACCGGCCAAACGCGTTATTCCATGAGTACTGTTTATTTTCATGTATGTACGAGTACAGAGTCGCAGAGCAGGTAGCCTCAAGCAAAAGTAGCCGGGGCAACAAGACGTACAGCAAATGTAATGGGGATGATGATGGAGGATGCGCAGGGTGGAGACGGGAGACGTTGAGATGCAGGACGAGAACAAGGATGGTATGCAGCACAGATACGCTATTACAAGGTATCGTAAGGGGTAAACGTAAAGCGAGCCCGAACAGTCCGGTCAAGAGGTATGGCAGAGAAAAGGTATGTTAGTAGTAGGTAAAGACATGATCGGAAACGCAGGTTGCAAAGCTGATTGGTATAAGTACAGATGCATGCAAAGTGATCAGAGTCCAAGAGGTATCGCTCATGCTGAAGATGCCGCAGACTTGGCCGCAGATGCTGCCGCGGTTGTGGCGGCGGAGGCGGCAGACGTTGCCGACGCCTTACCGCCGTTTACGATGCCAGAGAGGGCGGCGCCCGCAGCACTGGTAGCAGCTCCAGCTGCCGCACCTGCCGCGCTCGTCACCTTCCCACCTTCACTCGTAGCAGCAGCCACAGCACTAGACGCGCCCGCAACTGCTGCACTGGTGATTCTGCTCGCGGCCGAACCAGCTACGCTAGTAGCCGCGCCGACAGCGCTCGTCGCCTTGCCGATGTCGCTCGTGACGCCGCCAACAACGCTAGATGCCGCACTACCGACAGCGCTCGTGATGCTACCAACATCGCTAGTGATGGAGCCCACGAGACTCGTCGCGTTGCTGATCGCTGTCGTCAGCTCTCCGTTCACCGAAGCGCTGATGCTGGAAGCAAGACCCTGGAGGGCACCCGTGTCGCTGGCGGCGATGCCCAGAATGTCGAGCGAGTACGCCGTCGTGACGTGGTCCTGGTTGATGTGGAACCATGGAATGGTGTAGCCGCCATCACCGACTTGAACCGTCGAGACCGACTGGATATCGAGGTACCCGAGCGGGATGATCGCGAGAGAGGCGATGGCGCCATTGACGAGGAGGACGTTGCCGAATGTACCACTGTTGGCGGTCTCGTGCGGCGGGACGGTGAAGTCCGTGAACGGCTGGTCGAAGATGGCGTACGTCTTGCCGTTGACGCCCGAGTCGGATTGTGAGAACGAGATATGGAGAGGCGCGTCGAGCGGGTTGTAGACATCAAAGTTGACTTTGACGAGGTTGTCTACCAACGTGTCAAGAGTGATGAAGACGTTGACGTGGGTGAGAATCGGTGGTGCATCCATGGCCGGGAGGTTCGCGTCGAGGCTGATCCCCTCCAAGCCCGGAACGAGCGAGGCGAAGTTCGAGCTATCCGAGTCTCCCTTGATGGTAAGCGGGAGGTCATCGCTACCCTGAACGAAGCCTAGGAAAAATCGGGATGAATAAGTAGCTCAGACGAGCTCAGTTGAACACGTACTTGTGAGGAAGCCCTCCGCCACTGTGTCGTTGGCATCCGCTGGCATGTAGTGGAACTCCGCGTCGATATGGTTCTCACCAGGGACAAGGTGAAGGGTAGGGATGACGGCGCGACCGATCTGCGTATCCTTGTATGTAACAGGGAAGGATACGTCCACGGTCTGGAGCGATATGTTCGACGGGTTGTTGAGCGTGGTCGTCAACTTCGCAAGAACGTATTGGTCGCCGCCGTCGCCGCCACTGCCCGTGACCGTGACGTTGCTGAGCGAGGCCGTTCCGCCGAAGCCGTTGATGCCACCAAGCGAGGTTGTGGTATTGAAGGGGATGCCGGAGATCGGGATATTGCCGACCGTGGTCTTGGCGACGACGTTCGCAGTACCCTTGAGCTCGAATGAGACACCACTCGTATCCGTGACGGCTTTGATGAAGGCGGAGAAGGCGTCGTTGTTGACGGACTTGAGCGTCTGGTTCGAGAAGCTGATCTGTAGCGGCGCGAGGTTGCCGGTAGATACGCCACCGACGTTGTCCTCGAGGGGCAATTGAAGCTGGGGACGCATTAACACCGTCATCAATTAGACGCTGAGGAGACGCACTGTAGCGATGTCTACACCACTCTCAGCCAATGTGATATTCTCTGACGACTGGATGACTTGGAGCGAGAAGCCGACTAGAGGCAAGATTAGCAAAGTATGCGACACAGAGAGGCAGAAGCGTACAAGGATTCTTGTACTCGGCCACAGTGTCGGTGGAGCCTGCGAGCGGTGCGAACGCTTGGCCCTCCTCGGTCATCGTGAGAGCGAAGTCATTAAGCGCGATCGATTCGATGACCTGAAACGTCACGTCAGCCCGCGTCTAAAGCTGCATTGTATAGTGTAGCACACCTGGTAGATTTGACCCGGGAGCGTGACGTTGATCTCGAGCGTCTTGAAGGCGGTGCTGAGCCAAGTAATCTCATCGCTGCCATCCGGCGCGACGGAGACGCCCTTGACGTTGAGCGTCTGGTTCTGGCCGGCCAAGAAGTTCGAGAAGAGGACGCCCAGTGTGTCGAGATCGGACGACGAGGACTTGGGCGTGATACGGCCGGTGAGATGCTCGGTCGTCGTGGACATGGCGGCGAGGTATAGATCGGTGCCAGTGAGCGGACCAATGTCAACACCCTCGAAGAACGCCTCAAACCCAACAGTACCGAGACCGATGCTAATCTGCGCCTGTGACGGAATCATCGAGTCGGTTGAGATCTCGATACCGCCTTCCTCCGCATCACCCGGCAAGTCGAAGTTGGAAATGGTCACTCCAGGGATGTTGTTGAAGGCCTTGAGCGTGACGTCCTTCGAGAGCCTGACATTATCGAAGGCTGTACCGAGCGCGGTAACCCGGAGAGCATCGGTCGAAATTGTCCAGGTGAAGTCCTCGTTGTGAAGAAGGTACGTCGCGAAATCGGTAAAGCCGTCCTGGTCGGTGATCGTGAGCTGACCGGACGTCACCAGATCAGGGACACCGTCGTTGGCGGCAGCGCAGACTACGAAACCTGTTAGCGTGCGGGAGCGTGGAGCCAGAGTAAGTCTGCGTACTGTCGGGAATAGCAATCGTCGCGATGCTCCTGTTTTGCCACGAGACAGTGACCGGCTCGGGGAACGAGATGAGCGCATCCAACGGTCCGATGTTAGTGAGCGCGCCGTTCAATGCGAGGGCGAAGCCATCATTGGTGATATCCCTGGCAGCAACGGTCAGTATCAGTCCCGCGGTTCGCCCGCGAATATACGTACGAGATGTTTGCGGCGTTAAACGTAAGGTTTGCGCCGTCCACCAAGGTCTGCACGATGGGCGGTGCGACGGCACCGATCAGGTAGAGAGCAGTGTCATCGGTCTGTCAAAGCTATCAGCGCAGTGCGACTTGAGGACGTGGTGCATACATACGATGGCGGTGACGTTGTACTGTTTGAAGTCCAGATCAAAGGTGAACGCTGCATGAAGGGATGAGACGATGTCACAGTGCATCAAGCTAGTACTTACAGTCCTCAATCGCGACCTCGCTGGAAATGTTCAGCGTGACTTGAAGGTTCTTGAGCGAGTCCAGGATGGCATCGTCGACGTCGAACTGCTTTCCGCTGCTGCACGAGTCGTTGCCCACAACGCTGGTGTTGATCTGCGAACCGTACTTAGGGTTGGCAAGAGCGATCTTGAAGAGATCTGGAAGGGGCCCAAGGTCGACACCATTATTGGTCGCGCCGTCGAGAAGAAGCGTAATGATCGTGGTCGGATCGAGGTTGAAGTGGAAGGGCAGCTCGGGGCTGGTAGAGTTCTGGTGACCAGGTGCGTTGAAGGAGAGGTCGGCGTTCTCGATGGCACCGAGGAAGAGCTGATCATTGTACGTCGCGCCCGCGCTGACCTCATGCAGGTTGATACTAGCCGTGAACGGATTGTCTAGCACGAAGGTCGAGGTGGCAATGCCGGTCTGAACGATGTCCTTCGGGAAGACAAGCGAAGCGCTGCTGATGATGTTCTGGTGCAGCGCCGGGAGCGTAACATTAAGCTCGAGCGTCTTGAACGCCGTGCTGAGCCAGGTGACCTCATCGCTGCCGTCCGGAGCGACGTAAGAACCGTCGACGTCCAAGGTCTGATTGATGCCCGTGAGGTAATTCGAGAACAGTACGTCAAGCTTCTGGAGGTCGCTGGATGAGGTTTTGGGCGTGATGATGCCGGAGAGCGCCTCAGTCGTGGTCGACTCTGGTAAGAGATCGAGGTTGTCGCCCTTGATCGGACCAATATCGAGGCCTTGGAAGAACGCCTCAAACCCGACAGTGCCGAGCTGGATGCCGAGCTGTGCAGGTGAAGGGATGAGCGAGTTCGTTGAGAACTCAATGCCCGACGAGTCGCCCGAAGTGAGGTCGAAGTCAGAGATCGTGACACCAGGCAGGTTATTGAATGCCTTGAGCGAGATGTCCTTGGATAGCTTGACATTGTCGAAGATCGTTCCGAGTGCAGTGACACGCAGGGCGTCCGTCTCGATGGTCCACGTGAACTCCTCGTTGTGAAGAAGGAACGTGGAGAACTCCGTGAAACCGTCCTGGTCAGTGATCGTGAGCTGTCCACTGGTGATGAGGTCGGGTACACCGTCGTTCGCAGCAGCGCAGACTGCACGGATATGTAAGCATCACCTAAGCGGTAGGGTGAGAGCAAGCTTACTGTCAGGTATAGCTATCTTCGCGATCGACGACCCTTGCCAGATGACGGTAACGGGATCAGGGAACGAGATGAGCGCGTCAAGTGGGCCGATGTTGGTCAATGCTCCCTCCAGATCCAGACCGAAGCCCTCATTGGTGATGTTGCTGGCGTGATATCAGCCAAGGCGATTATGGAGGACAGCGAACAGACGTACGAGATGTTCGCCGCGTTGAACGTCAGATTAGCGCCGTCGACGAGCGTCTGTACGATGGGCGGAGCAACGGCGCCAATGAGATACAAGGCAGTAGAGTCCGTCTGCCGTCACGTAATCAGTACTGATCATGAAATGCAGGGTATAACATACGATAGCCGTGACATTGTACTGATCGAAGTCCAGATCAAAGGTGAACGCTGCACTTTTTGTCAGTATGGTTCGCCGTAGCCATTAGATGGCGTACGCACAGCTATCGATTCCAACTTCGCTGGAGATGTTCAGCGTGACCTCGAGGTTCTTCAAGGAGTCGAGGATCGCGTCATCTACGTCGAACTGCTTTCCGCTGTTGCACGTCGAGTTGGTTGTGAGTACACTCGAGTTGATCTGCGAGCCGTAGTCGGGGTTGGCGAGCGCGATCTTGAAGAGGTCGGGCAGAGGGCCAAGATCAACGTTGTTATTCTCCGCGCCGTCGAGCAAGAGCGTGATAATCATCGTAGGGTCGAGATTGAAGTGGAAGGGGAGCTCGGGGCTGGACGTGTTCTGGTGACCGGGTGCATTGAACGACAGATCGGCATTTTCGATGGCACCGAGGGAAAGGTTACGGTATGTCGCGCCCGCGCTAACCTCGTGGAGGTTGATGCTGGCCGTGAACGGGTTGTCAAGCACGAAGCTGGCCTGCGCGATACCTGTCTGAACGATGTCGATGGGGAAAACGAGTGACGCGCTGCCGATGATGTTCTGGTGAAGCGCAGGGAGCGTGACATTGAGTTCAAGCGTCTTAAACGCTGTGCTCAGCCAGTTGATTTCGTCGCTGCCATCGGGCGCTACGAACGAGCCGTCGACGTTCAGGGTCTGATTTAAGCCCGTCAGGTAGTTCGAGAACAGTACATCCAACGTCTTGAGGTCCGACGATGAAGTCTTTGGTGTGATGGTGCCGTTGAGAGCCTCCGTCGTCGTAGACTCAGGCGCAAGCGTCAAACCCTTGCCGGTGATCGGGCCCACATCAAGCCCCTGGAAGAACGCTTCGAAGCCCACCGTGCCGAGCGTGATACCAAGCTGGGCGGGCGACGGGATCAGCGAGTTGGTGGAGAACTCGATGCCAGAAGAGTCTCCAGATACGAGATCGAAGTCGGAGATGGTAACGCCGGGAAGGTTATTGAAGGCCTTCAAGGTGACGTCCTTGCTGAGCTTCACGTTATCGAACACTGTGCCGAGCGCCGTGACGCGAAGCGCGTCGGTCTCGATGGTCCATGTGAAGTCCTCGTTGTGCAGGAGGAATGTAGAGAACGTTGTGAAGCCGTCTTGATCCGTGATGGTCAGTTGGGCGCTGGCGATCTCAAGATCCGGTACGCCATCGTTTGCAGCAGCGCAAACTACACGATGATGAGCGGACGGGCATTGTGATACGATGAAAAGGCATACTGTCAGGCAACGCAATCTGTGCGATCGGAGATCCTTGCCAAACCACGGTCACGGGCTTCGGGAAGGAGATCAGCGCGTCGAGAGGGCCGATGTTCGTCAGTGCACCCGCGAGGTTCAAACCAAAGCCGTCATTCGTGATGTTGCTACAAGCCGGTCAGCTCATCGTCCCTCATACATTAGATATCAAATTCATACGAGATGTTGGCCGAGTTGAATGTCAGGTTGGCGCCGTCCACGAGCGTCTGAAGGATGGGCGGCGCGACCGCACCGATGAGATACAGCGCAGTATCGTCCGTCTGAGCAAACATTAGTCATCACTTGCTGCGGATGGCACGTATACTCACAATGGCAGAGACGTTGTACTGGTTGAATGCCAGATCCGTAGGGACTATAGACAGTCAGTCGGAGCGCGATGGGGAAACGGTTGGAGTAACTCACAATCATCGATCTTCACTGAGGTCGAGATGTTGAGCGTGACCTCAAGGTTCTTGAGCGAGTCAAGGATTGCATCGTCTACGTCGAACTGCTTCCCGCTGTTGCACGTCGAGTTCGTAGTGAGCACGCTCGAGTTGATCTGGGAGCCGTAGTCCGGGTTGCTGAGCGCAATATCGAACAAGTCGGGGAGCGGACCGAGGTCGACGCCATTGTTGGCCGCACCGTCCAGTAGCAGCTGGATAATCGTCACCGGGTCGAGGTTGAAGTGGAACGGCAACGTCGGGCTGGTGATATTCGAGTGGCCGTCGGCGTGAATAGGGTTTGATGATTCATCCACGTTCTCGATAGCGCCGAGCGTGAGGTTGCGGTACGTGGCGCCCGCGCTGACCTTGATCAGATTGATGCTCGCCGTGAACGGGTTGGCCAGGACGAAGCTGGCCTGCGCGATGCCAGTCTGGACGATGTCGGTAGGGAAGACCAACGTAGCGCTCGTGATCAAGTTCTGGTGTAGTGCGGGGACTGTGACCGGCGTGAGCGTGATCTCCGAGAGCGCCACCTTGAGCGAATCAATATCCGTGCTGCTCTGAGACCCTTGGATCGTCGTGTCCGAGTCCACACCCTGAAGATAGTTCTCAAGCAGGAGCTGACCGGTCGGGACGGCCGAGCCCTCGGGTGCGTAGTGGATCTGTACGGCGTAGGTGGCATTTCCCGGTACGACGACAATGTCGCTCTAAACACGGTTGTCAGTAAAGCAGACGATATGCTGATGACAACGGTACGTACGATATCAGCCGTACCGATCGTTGCATCGTTGAAAACCAAGCCGAACGCTACGTCTCCCGCTCCTGCAAGTCCGTTAGCGCCGTATTTGATGGACATAGGCACTGAATCGACCTACCAAGCGTGATATTGGAGGGGTTAAAGAGCGACGCGTTGACAGTGATCAGCAGATAATCAGAGTACCCGTGCGCGACGTCGAGCTGGGACACGAGCTGAACGGGCTTCGTGTTCAGACCCTGTAGACCCGCAATAGACGTCCCGACCGAGAAGTCGATGCCCCTGAGGGAAAGCGTTCCCACAGCGGTACCGGCCTGGGAGTTGGCAGAACCGGATAGCGCCATTGACTGATTGGCGCTGACGGCTGTGCTCGCCAAGAACTGCTGGAAAGCGGAATGCTGGTCGTCGAAGGCGGCGAATGGTACGCTCGAGAACGCAAAGTGGATGATGCGCGCGTCGACGTCCGTGGTAGATTGCACCATGGGCACCGCAAGCTCGGCAAAGGCGGCACCACCGTCGCCGACGGAGATGTTGGACTCCAGCGCGGTGATGTCGATCGGGAAACCGAAGGGTATGGTGAACCCGATGTCCGTCTCCGTCGTGCTGGTGGAGGGATCCCAGCCGGTAGCTTCAGTGAAGCGGAGGTCAAGGTCGTCAAGCGTGATGGTCTTGATGATATCCAGCTTGCCCTGGTTTGGCAAAAGCGTCGAGACGAGCAGAGCCTTGATACCCTCGTTGAGCCACGTCGCCTCCGCGGGGCCAGCGGACTCGCCCTGCACGGTGATGTTGCTATCCTGGCCGTGAATGAAATTGTTGAACACGGTCGAGACATCGGCAAGGGCAGAATCCTGCGTCTGCGGAATGAGACGTCCTGCCATAGAGATGTTGACGGTTGACGACGGCGCGAGCGTGAAGGTCGAGTTCGAGCCGACGGGTCCTAGGTTCGTGGACTGGTAGAAAGACTGGAAGGCGATCGACTCGAGTTGAACGCCGACTTGCGAAGGCTACGCAGAGACGTGAGCACTAAAGCAGTTTGGAGCAGCCAAAGAAGCACTTACGTTGGTGATCGTCGTGTTCAGCGTGAGATGAATGCCACCAGCGGGGTCGTTCTCGGGCAAGTCGAAGTTGTCGATGATCACGTCGTTCTTGAGACTGTTCATGCCCTTGAGCGTGACCTATACCGCAATCAGATCACTGAAACCCAAGCATGGCACGAATAACATACCTTCTTGCTCGGGAAGTTAATCCCAGGCACCGTAATGCCGATGGCAGAAACCGAGAGGTTGCTCCCAGAAATCTCCCAGTCGAATGTCTCGGTCGTGAGTAGTACCTTCGTAAAATCGGTAAGGTGATTGACGTCCGCGATGCTGAAGTCCGTCGTGACTTGGAAGTTCGCGCCAACGTCTCCCGTAATGTTGATGTCGGGCATCTTGATCGAGCCGAGCGAACCGTTGTTCCAGGCGATGTCGAGGCCATTTGGGAAGGAGATCACCGCGTCGACTGTATATCAATCAGTACCGGGTAGAAATGAACTCGTTCAGGGAGACAGCGTACATGGACCCGCATTGGTGACCGTCCCCGCGAGCTGAGTAGTGAAGCTCGTGGCTTTGGGGTCCGTGATAAGCACGGTCTCAACGCTGGTGGCAACAATTCAGCATTCATGGCGTCTTACATCAGCTGACACGCGTACCCAAGGCCGGAACCGTCGACGATCTTCTGCACGATAGGCTGCGCGAGGATAGGCAAAAGCAAGTTCAGCGACTGGTCAGTGGTCGTGTTGACACCGGGCTGTGAGTACGTCAGTTCCGTCGTGTATTGGCCGATCGTGACCGTGGATGTGAGTTCCACGTCAGACGTGAGCTCCTTGAACGCCCCGTCAACAAAGGTCGGAAGGTCGAAGCCACTGAGGACAAGGTAAGTCGGGCAAAGCCTTCTTAAAAGACGAGACGTACGTGTAGATGTTGTCGCGCTTCTTGAGCGAACGCGCCGCGATCTCCGCCTCGATGACATCGCGCTTCTGCGACGTCGTATCGAGGTAATGGTAGCCGCCCAGTTGCACAATGCCGTCGAGCTGCTCCGTGTCAAGGCCGGCCTTAACCGCCAACGAGCGCGTGACCGTAAAGAGGGTTTGAGGGTCGAGGTTCAAGTCGAGGTTGAGGTTCGGAGAGGTCGTTGTAGCCTTGCCCGCTGAAGAAAAGTTGGTGCCGGTGTTGATGTGTCCGAGCGTGAGACCTTCGTATGAGACCTGTGATGGGTGTGAGTCTTCTGCAGCGCGGCCAGGAGCGCGAGACGCACGTTACTAGTGACTTGCGAGATCTGCAGGCCAGCGGTGAAGGGATTGGCGAGCGCCACAGTGACATGGGTGATGTTATCCGAGTGACCAGTGGAGTTCAGAACCTCGAGCGACGCAGAGCTCAGGAGCTTCGTTGTCAAAGCGGGAAGGGTAACGTTGAGCGAGAGCGATTCGAACGCCTCCAGAAGCGACTCGACTTGAGTACTCTGATCGTAGCCCGCGATGTGGATGGTAACATCTGTGCCGCCAACAAACTTGTTGAGCGTGTCCTTGCCCTCGGGAGAGTTGTTCGGCTGGAAGAGAGACGTCGCTGCTATGCTGTTGTTCCCGATGCTGAGCGTCAAGTTGGGCATAGTCACTGTCCCCAGAAGTCCATCTCCCTGGGTGAGCTGTGTGTTGAGGTCGCCGACGGCCAAGTTCAGGTTTGACGGATTGGTAATCGTCACTGTAAGATGATCAGTGTGAAGACTAAGAGATCGTGAGGAGAGGGCGCACCATTGATGTTCAAGTTGATACCATCCGTAGTACCGCCCACGACATCCGGCTGGTCAATGGAAACGAGCCCCTGCAAGCCCTGCAGACCGTAAAGACCCGACGTCACGTTGAAATTGATGGGATCCAGAATCACTGCCAAACGGTTGAGCACTTGCACTTGGTACACAAAGGAAATACCCACGCGTCCCAATGCTGAGGTTTGCGACAGCATGTGAGTGGCCTTCAAGCTGGAAATCCTCGTGGAAAACGTTGGTCAAGTCCCTCGTGAAGACCGAGAAGGTATCATGCGATGGTCCCGTTACATTGAGCGGCGTGTTGACGATCTGAATATCGATCGTTCCGCTCGTGTTGGTCGGACCGTAAACGACAACGTTCGAGGTCGAGGCGCCGAGCGGCTGCGGGATGACCAAGTTAGCTGCGCCAGGGGCCAGAACACGCAAGAGACATACCGTGGACAAGCCGCCCGCCACAGACGCTGTGGAGCGTGGTCAGCTACTTCCGGACACGGAGTCAAAAGAGTTATACCATTCTTGGAGATGTTGAAGGCGTTCTCGATCTGGCCGATCTCCAAGTTGAATCCGAACGGCAGTTCTGTGGAAATGATGAGCCACACGGCGCACGCGCGCAACGGGTAGATAGCCACGTACCCATTGTCGCCTGCACCGACTTGGTGTTCGCCATTGGATCCCATGCCGTGTCCTTCGTGAACGCCAGGTCGAAGTCTCCAATGCTGATGGCCTTGATAGGGTTGATGGGCGTAGCAGGTATGAACGGAACTTGGATGTGCAGAGCGTTAAGGCCTAAGCTCAACCAAGATATGATACTCCCATCGTCTTGCAGCGTTGATAAGCCGGTGGCTACCACGGTGGAGTTCTCGCTATTCACTGGAGGGAGATCAGCTACTATACGCGTAAAACGGTAAGAGCTACGTACGATACTGAGTGAAGAGCTCGGACATCGTATCCAGCTCCGACTGGGAGTTGTTGTGCGGAACGAGTACACCGGTAAGCGTGACGTTGTTGTCACCAGGTACCTATATGGCACTGGGTCAGCAGGCGGCATATGGCGTGTTGAAACCGCTCACGATCTTGGTATTCTTCTGCGTGCCAGTTCCCAGAAAGACGTCTTTATAGGTCAGGTTGAAGACGACTGTGCCCAGACCGAGCTCGAAAGGGCTGAATGACTATGAGTAACGCGATCAATACATCAATAAATGAGGTGTGAGCCGCACCTCGGGTTGTGGATGGTAGTAGTAGCACTGTATTCGATTCCGGCGTTGTCGGGAGCGTCTCGAGGCATCTGGAAGTCGACAAGCTTGACATTGTTGTCGAAGTTATTGATACCTGCCTGAGCGTGAGCGCGAGTTATATCAGAACGGATATATGATATACCTGGGAGAGTGAGCGTCTTCTCAAAGTTCAAGCCCTTCGCCTCGGGTAGGAGGCCGGCCCGAACAGCCAAGTTTCCAGTTCTGAGAACCCATGTGAAGTTTGGGGACGTGATCATGTACTGCGTGAAGTCGCCGAACGCCGTCTGGTGCGTGACTGAGAAGTGATTCGTTTGGTTGATGTACGCGCGTGCGTTCGTTGCTGTCAGTGGGGTAAAAGACGTTGTCCCGATCTGAATTTCAGTGCCGTTCTCTTGCTTCCAGTAAATGTCCATAGGCTCCGGAAACTCGATAGTTGCGCCGAAAATGCCCGCATGTGTGACCTGAAACCAATCGTCAGACGCATATACTCACTGTGAACACTCATACGCACATAGCCGTCAATACCGAGGGAGAAGCTAGTGCCGAAGTCAGCCTAACCTGATTAAGCATATGAAAACGGGGAACGCACGATTCGTTGGTCGGCGAGTTGATGGCCACGGTGTCAATGTTGATCACGGAAGTGCCGACGATGTGTTGTGCAATTGCGTGAATGACGGGGTATAAAATGACGAAGAGGAGGCCGATGGCGATGAGTGCGGTGACAAGCTGGGAAATGATAAACCATCTTTGCTTGTAGAACGGAGTCCCCTCGATGACGGGCGCTGCACCGGCGGGACCCTTCTCGCCAACTGCAGCTCCGGCACCGGCACCGGCGGCAGTAGCGGCGGTTGCCCCTTCCCCGCGATGATCGTTCCCCGCATCATCGTACACAGGGACCGGCACGCGGTGTCCACTGCTGCCAGCAACTGAAGGCTGCGAACCACCTGCGCCCGCGTTCACTGGCACGCGCTCGATACTCGGCCGCTCCTCCACATTCTCTGCAAAACGCGTCCAATCAGCATAAATATTCATTGGAACGCGTTTGCGCGTGAATAATGTGCTTACCTTGTGTCAAGTTGACCTGGGAAGTGCTGGGCTGGATTCCCTCAAAGAGGCCAGAATTGTCGCGCACGCGGTCGTGCTGCATCCCTTGCGCGCTAACTTCCGGAGTGCGGGGAAGAGCTCGCGCGAATGCGGGGGAGGAAAACACAAGACTACGCGAAGGCCGGTGCAAAAGCTCGCGCGTGTTTTTTGGTCGGCCATATTTGAGGGAGGCCCAGCGAGCGAAGGGACGCGGTCAAATTCGAACCAGATCAGCCCGCCCCGGTCATGAGAACGGGCGAAGCGCTCCACAAACTGTCTTCTCCGCATGGGTCGCGAGCCTACCTGCTTGTCCTCCACTGCGCGCGGCATACCGACTCTCCGTCAATCACTTGCTCCAACATTCTCAGCTCTCATAGCTTGCACGGTCCAGCTGTGTCTGCTCTTTGCATGTAGAGGTTGACATGTTTTGTTGGCGAACATGTTGACATTCCGGCCATCGCGGTTGGTTGTCAAGGCTAATTTCGCGTTCTGCGTGATGCGCTCTCCCGCGGACCTGAAAGCCGCGACCGCGTTTCATCACCCGCCAGTTCATTGGCTCGTCTTGTCTCCTTCCACAATGTCC